GGCAGATACAGAGGAAGAGAAACAGGATGTGAAACAGAAGATGAGAAGCAGAGGGGCAGAAAGAGAGGTGCAGAAACAGAGGATGAGAAACAGAGGCTCAGAAAGAGAAAATGAGAAAAAGAGTTGCAGAAATAGAGGTGCAGAAACGGAGAGGCACAAATAGAGAATGGGAAACACAGGGGCAGAAACACAGTATGAGAAAAAGATGGGCAGAAACAGAGGATGAGAAACACAGTGTCAGAAACAAAGGTGCAGAGACAAACAGGAAGAAAGAGAGGATGAGAAATATAGGGTAGAAATAATGTATGCGAAACAGAGGGGCTAAATCAGAGGTGCAGAAACAGAAGGGCAGAAACAGAGATGCAGACAGAGACAGGCAGAAATAGACGATGAGAAACAGAGAATGAGGAACATAGGGGCAGAAACAGAATGATAGACAGGGGGTGAAGAAAGTGAGCATGAGAAACTGAGGGATAGAAACAGAGGATGATAACAGAGGGTGAAGAAACAGAGGATGACAAACAAAGCATGAGAAACAGGATGAGAAATACTGGACTGTAAACAGAGAAGCAAAAACAGGATGAGAAACAGAGGTGCAGAAAGAAGAGGATGTGAAACTGAGTGGCAGAAACAGGGCTTGAGAAACAGAGGTGCTGATACAGAGAATGAGAACAGGGGGTCTGAACATAGGATGAGAAACAGAGGACATGAAACAGAGTATGAGAAACAGGGGGGCGTAAACAGAGGATGACAAGCTGAGGTGCAGAAACGGGGGCGGGGGGGAGAAACAATGGATGAGAAAGAGAGGGGCAGAAACAGTGAATAAGTAACAGAAAGTGAGAACCAGAGTATGAGAAACAGAGAATGAGAAACAGTGTGCCAAAACAGAGGGGCAGAAACTGATGATGGGAAACAGACCTGCAGTAGCAGAGGATGAGAAAGGGATTGGCAGACACAGAGGACGAGAAACGGATGAGCAGTAACAGACAATGAGAAGCAGAGGGGCAGAAACAGAGAGCCCGAAACGGAAGAGCAGAAACCGAGTCAGAAACAGAGGGGCAGAAACGGATATGCAGAAACTGAGCGGCAGAAACAGAGGGTGAGAAAAATGGTTAGAAACAGACGGGCAGAAACAGAAGATGAGAAACAGAGGGGCAGAAAGACAGGGGCAGAAACAGAGCACCTGAAACAGAGGATGAGAAAGAGCATGGCAGACACTGAGGATGAGAAACAGAGGGGCAGAAACAGATGATGAGAAACAGTGGGGCAGAAACAGAATGAGAAATAGAGGATGAGAAACAGAGGATTTGAAACAGAGGATGAGAAACAGAAGGGCAGAAAGTGAAGATGAAAAACAGTGGGTGAGAAACACAGGGGCAGAAGCAGTTGCAGAAACAGTGGGGCTGAAACAGAGGATGAGAAACAGAGGATGAGAAACATATGACAAGAAACAGAGGCGCAGAAACACAGAATGTGAAACAGAGGGGCAGAAACAAAGAGGCATCACGTTCCAGACTCTGACCACACTCTGTGCAAAAACCTTGCCCCTCACATCTCCTTTGATTTTTTCCATCTCACCTTAAAGGTGTTAGTATTAGACATTTCAACTCTGGGAGAAAAATTCTGACCATCAACCCTATCTATGCATCTCATAATTTTATAGTCTTCTATTGATCTCCCCTGAGCCTCCACTGCTCCACAGAAAACAAGCTGAATTTTTCTAGCCTCTCCTTATTAGCTCATACCCTCTAATCCAAGCAGCATCCTGGCAAACCTCTTCTGTACCCTGTCCAAAGTCTCCACATCCTTCTGGTAAAATGGCAACCAGAATTGAACACAATACTCTAAGTGTGGCCTAACTAAAGTCTTATAAAGCCACAACATGACACCTTGTCTGTTGCACTCAATTCCCCAACCAATAAAGGCAAGCATGCCATACATTTTCTTTACCACCCTATCCACTTATTTGGCCATTTTCAGGGAGCTATGGACTTGAACCCAAGATCTCTCTGCACATCATGCTGTTCAGGATCTTTCCATTAACTCTATACTTTTCCTTAATTTGATCTCCCAAAGTACAGCACTTCATACTCACCCGGATTAAACTCCATCTGGCATTTGTCCGCCCATATCTGCAACTGATCTATATCCTGCCATATCCTTTGACAACCTTCTACACTATCCATAACTCCAATAATCTTTTCTATCGTCTGCAAACTTACTAACCCACTCATCTACATTTTCATCCAAGTCATTTATATATGTCACAAACGGCAGAGGTGTGAATACAGATCCCTGCAGAACACCATTAGTTATGAACCTCCAGCCAGAAAAAAGACCCTTCCACCATTATCCTTTGCCTTCTATGGGCAAGTCAATTCTGAATCCAAGTGGCCACGTCACCATAGATCCAGTGCATCATAACCTTCTGGATGAGTTGACCATGAGGGACCTTGTCAAAAGCCTAAATAAAATCCATATAGACAACATCCACTGCTCTACTTTCATCGATCACCTTCGCAACTTCTTCAAAAAATTCAATCAATTTAGTAAGACATGATCTGCCTCGCACAAAGCCATGCCGACTGTCCCTAATTAGGCCATGCTTTTCCATGTTAATTTGGAGCTGTACAGAACTATGGTTAGTCCACAGCCGCAGTACTGAGTACAGTTCTAGTCACCACACTATAGGAAGGATGTGATTGCAATGAAGTGGGTGCACATGAGATTCACCAGGATGTTGCCTGGGATAGAGAATTTCAGAGAGGCTGCATAAACTTGGGTTGTTTTCTTTGGAGCAGAGAAGGTTGAGGAGTGA